ATACATGATATATAAGAAAGATCTTCAAATAATTTCTTTTTTTACATTTATTCATTTTCAAGTTTAGGAAATTGTTCATAAGCCTTGATAAATACACTTATGTGCAGCATAAGTGACTTTATGGTACAATGAAAGATTGTAACTTTTAATTGTATTAAGTCTTTTGATATCATGTTTTGTAAATGTTAGAAATATTAGAAATATGTAGAAAATAGTTTTGTACAGTACATAGGTGTTTATCTGACTTGAAACTCTTAGGAATTTTGTAATTGATATGGGGGCGCTACTTCAAGCACATGTTTTAATATGCAGCCTCTTTTTCAAATAGCTGCTGAAGGAAGAACACGTACAGAAATTTGGTGACACTCAATTTCATAAAATATTTTCACTCAATTTCATAAAATATTTTTTCTAGGCATGCCTTTAAACACACTTATACTAAGTCATTCCATTTGCCATCGGCTTCACAACTACCTGAAATCAAGAAACGATCATAGACACCAATTAGACTTCAATTTGGCAAAAACTTCAACCGTCGAGTGGCATGGCGTAGGAGGAAGAACTATTCATAAAATGATAAAGTTCGACATCGGTATAGTTAAAATTAAAAAACCCGAATGTGTTATTCTCCTAGATGGTGGTAACGATGTTGTAGAAGACACGTCTGTTGAGGAAGTGGCATATAAACTGATAAGTTTCTGTTCGATACTGACAAATACGTATGGAGTTCGACGAGTAGTAATATGTGCCATCATGCCACGCTTCCCACGGGATAATTTCAGACTTAAGAAAGATGGATACAATCGGGACAATACAAGTGTCCGAGATAGGGCAAACAAGAATATGTATTTTGAAAAAGCACAAGAAATAAATAAAATGATAAAAAACGAGGTTGAAAAATCATCGAAATTTATCTTTTGGGATCATAACAAAAGATTTTCTTTTGACACCACAAACAAAAATTCATGCAAAGATAAATTTATTTCCGATGGAGTACATCTAAATACGAAAGGTCAATACCATTTATACAAGTCAATACGAGGAGCAGTTATCAATGCCTGCAAAGAGATTAAATTAGAAAACGGAAATTAACACGTATCTGAACCGTACTCGTAAATTTTGGAATCTTTTGAAAACTTCCGATGGATAATCGCAACAGAATGACAATCAAACTTATTGGGATTATGATGCATAATCATGGTTCAAGTAGTAGTTACCATAAATAAATACAAGTTAACAACACACATTTACATATCAATCCGCTATGTTACTGTTTGTCGATCGATATCACATTATCGTACTTGACTTTTATACTAATGAATTATGTAGGTCATGTATACAGTAACGATACATGTCGTATGTTTGAACTTAATGTTGTTGCTAAAACTAAATATTTAGTTACCAAAAGGAAAAATTTTACGGCAGAAACTGGTAATATTTCAGATAATAATGAACACAAACAAAACAATTTTAACATGTTTAATGGTTGAGGATCGTCCAGATTAAATTATTCAAACAAGGTTAACATGAATAATCAAGGTTAAATACAAAGAAAAACAAATTCAATAAAACAAAATAGTCCTAAAAAGAAAAATTATTATAATTGAAAGTATTGTATTAAGTTTGCATTAGTATATTTCAGACAATGCCTCCAAAAAGACAATCCTCGTACGGTGTGGCAGGTGCCATAAAGAAAATGAAAACGGCCGCCCAGAGGAAGAAAACATCAACCGCTATACCAAGTAGGCCTTCCATCCCCCCAAATAATGCAACAGTTATATCACCAGATGTCATGGAGGAGTTGACCAATAGGGTAACGGAAAAGGTAGCTAGCCGAATGGAAAGGAGGATGGAGGAAATTTTTGACAAGATAACTTCAAAAGGAAATAATGGCAATTCAGATATTCAGGAGGCTGAGGTCCAACATCATGTGGACACTCTGAACAGAAACATCCAAGGTACATGTAATGGAGAGCAAAACCATGACAATAACAATGTGGTTGTCAGCCCAGAGGTTCTGGCTGTACAACCAACTGTTGATAAACAAATTATTGGGGGGCAATCAGCCTTTGTCAGTTGCTCCCTCAAAACAGGGAGAAATATACCGGATAAAATAAAACAACAAATATGGGCGGGAAAGTACATCGACTTCCATTCCCTCTTTGAAAATGACGAGACCAAATACAGATTACAACTTGTTCAAGGGGCCGACAACCCTGAACTGTCCATTACAGAAGAGCGTAACAAGAAAACATTAACCCTAAACCAATGGCTATCAGCCTGGAATAAATTTACAGCAATAATTTGTACTAAAAACCCTGAATTAGGGCCTGTAATCCCCCACCATATGGAAATAATCCTGGAAATGTCAAGAGAAGGGGGGAACTGGCAATTTTACGATATCGAATTTAGGAAATTATTAGAAAGAGGAGAAGCACAATGGGGGAGTACACACCTAGAACTATATCTCAGAGCAAAATTACAAGCTAACGTTAAATCTGGGAATGACAACAACAAAGGTGGCAGTACTCGCTGGCCAGTTGGAGTATGTTTTTCATTTCATAAGGGTTTAGGTTGTAAGTTTGGTGATAAATGCAAGTTTCAACACAGATGTTTCAATTGCGGTTTCAACCACTCATTCTCAACATGCAAAAAACCAGTTCGGCTCCCTTATAAGTTCACACAAACCAGTAATTACTCAAAAAAGATACAAGGAGGGAATAACCAGCCCTTTCGGGGACCCTCCCTATCTAGTAACAGAGACGACACCTCTTCCCCAAGGACAGAAAAAAACTGTCCCCACCAGAAAATGATGTTAACTATAATTCTAATAGCAATACACCAGTTAAGGTTGATAGGCTTGGATATTGGTTAAAAGGATATAATATTGAAATGTACAATTACTTAGTTAACGGGTTTAAATATGGGTTCGATGTAGGATTCAGAGGTTCTGTTCATAATAATATAGTTGATAATTTATTATCAGCAAAGACTAAACCTGATATCGTTAGACAAAAAATTCAAAATGAAATTAATGCAAATAGATTTGTTGGCCCTTTTGATTCAAAACCTTTTACAGAAATGCAATTATCCCCTTTGGGACTAGCAGAAAAGAAAATGCCTGGGACATATAGAATGATCCACCACTTATCTTTCCCTGAAGGATCATCAATCAATGACAACATACCACAAGACAAATGCAGTGTACAGTATGCTTCCATTCAAGATGCAATAGAACTGATTAAGTCTGTAGGAAGAAAAAGTTTTTGTGCAAAAACCGACATATCCAGTGCATTTCGAATTATAAACATAAAAGAATCACAATACAAACTATTTGGCTTCATGTGGGAGGGGAAATACTATTACGATAAAAATCTGCAAATGGGTTGTAGTTCTAGTTGTCAAATTTTTGAAAATTTTAGCACAGCCATTGAATGGATCGCAAAAAATAAAATACTTATTCCAAACATAGTGCATATTTTAGATGATTTTATGATAGTAGACAAAACGGAAGATGGGTGTAAGAAAAAATTAGAACGTTTCCTTGCAATTTGTAAAGATATGGGTATACCAATTTCTAAGGAAAAAACATTCCAGCCATCCCAGGTTATGAGTTTTGTTGGTTACGAAATAGACACTAGGTTGATGGAAGTTAGACTTCCAATTGATAAGCTTGATAAATGTCACAACCTTTTAACCGTAGTGTTACAAAAAGAAAAAATTACATTGAGGGAACTTCAATCTATCATTGGTACTCTCAACTTTGCTTGTGCAGTTGTCATCCCAGGAAGGGCATTTCTGAGAAGACTAATAGACTAAACAATTGGGGTCAAAAAATCCTTTCATAGAATACGAATGACAAAATCAGTTAAGCAAGATCTAAATACATGGCAAAATTTTTTAAAGAATTTTAATGGGAAGTCATTGATTTTATCAGACCGTTGGTTAACATCTGATCAGCTACATTTGTTTACAGATGCCTCTGGTACATACGGTTATGGTGCTTTGTTTGGTTCACAGTGGTTCTTAGGCAAATGGGACACAAAATGGCAAAAACAAAATATTGCCTTTTTAGAGCTATATCCCATAGTCTTGGCAGTTGAAATATGGGGCCACCGATTTGAAAACCAGTGCATATATTTTCATACAGACAATATAGCTTTAGTGTCTGTAATTAATAAACAAACATCTAAAGATGCGTTAATTATGTTCCTAATAAGGAGACTAGTTCTACACTGCTTGAGAAACAATGTGAACTTTAAGGCAAAACACATATATGGTTCAAAAAATGTTTTGGCAGATGCACTTTCTCGTCAACAGGTACAGAAATTTCATCGGTTAGCACCATGGGCAGACACTGTTCCCAAACCAGTTCCCAATCTACCAGATTTGCCAAGCTACAGAAACCCTTAAATAAAATTTTTAACAACATCTTATCTGAATCCTCACAAAAAACTTATAGAAGAGCAATTATCCACTATAAGAGTTTTGCTGAAGAATATGGCATTAGATTTCAGTTACCACTTACTAGTTCAGATCTCATACTATTTATAGCACATTTGAAATACAAAGATCTTGCATCAAGTTCTATCTCAACATACATTTCAGCAATTGGTTTTACACACAAAATTAATAATTGGCCTGATCCAACTGATTCATTCATTATTGATAAGGTACTGAAATCAGTGCATAAGGGAAGAAATCAAGATATGAGACTTCCAATTACTAGTACAATTTTGAATCAATTAATAGATGCATTAAAACAGACAATATCTAATAGATATGATCAAATTCTATTCAAAGCAATGTTCACCCTAGCATACCATGCTCTTTTAAGAATTGGTGAGATGACAGTCAACAACAAAAATTACAATCATGTTATTAGTTTAAGTCAAACTGTTGTGTTACACGAAAAATTAAGTATCAGTTTCATGGACTTCAAACATTCAAATGGAAAACAATTCCATTTAGAAATAGCTAAGAAAAAAATAACTATATTTGTGCAGTAACGGCACTTACTAGTTACTTAACTTTGAGAACAAACACAACGGGTCCACTATTCCTCAACTCCAGTGGAGAAGCTGTTTCTAGACAATTATTCCAACATGCTCTGAATGGTGCTTTGAACTTTTGTGGGCTCAGCAGAGCATATTACAAACCTCATAGTTTCAGGATAGGCTTTGCTACCGACGCAAGTGCAAAAGGATTGTCCACAGAAACCATAAGAAATTTAGGTAGATGGAAATCCGATGCATTCAAATTATATATTAGACAATCAGGTCAAATTTCTAACCTTTAGTCATGTTTATCTGTCTCACAACTGATCATGTAATGACGTAATTTGTGAATGAATTACTGCCGTTTATTATTTTATATTTTGTACAGGGCTTGTGGGTCACAGCTCATTACATATCACAAACAGAATAACAGTTCATATAATATGGAAACGGTGGACAATTGGGAAAGGTGAATTATGACGCTTATTTAAGCTGATACAAGGACAACCTAAAACCAGGAATTCATCCGTTTACCATTGAAATGACCAAATTTTACTGAGAAGTAATTGACAGAAAACAGCTTGCCAGGACTGGAATCTTAAAATCTCCCATTTACATGTAGTAATATTTATCAGTAAACTTATAACAATATTTAAGGAAATACAGTTATCTGAAAGGGAAAATAGGTATTAATACAATTATTGAATGCATGTTTTTGCTGTAACAAACTTGGTCTGTTATTGCATCAAGTAAAAATATTTGTTTGACACAATGTCTGTAAATTGTGTCTTCTTAGTATATTTTGGTTTGTATCAAGTAGATACATGGTTAGGACACAATGTCTGTAAATTGTGTCTTTTTAGTATATTTTGGTTTGTATCAAGTAGATACATTGATAGGACACAATGTCTGTAAATTGTGTCTTTTTATTATATTTTAGTTTGTATCAAGTAGATACATTGATAGGACACAATGTCTGTAAATTGTGTCTTCTTAGTATATTTTGGTTTGTATCAAGTAGATACATTGATAGGACACAATGTCTGTAAATTGTGTCTTTTTAGTATATTTTGGTTTGTATCAAGTAGATACATTGATAGGACACAATGTCTGTAAATTGTGTCTTTTAGTATATTTTAGTTTGTATCAAGTAGATACATTGATAGGACACAATGTCTGTAAATTGTGTCTTTTTAGTATATTTTAGTTTGTATCAAGTAGATACATTGATAGGACACAATGTCTGTAAATTGTGTCTTTTTAGTATATTTGGTTGGTATCAAGTAGACACATGGTTAGGACACAATGTCTGTAAATTGTGTCTCTTTAGTTTATGATTGGTTGTATAAAGTAGATACGTAGGTAGGACACAATGTCTGTAAATTGTGTCTTTTAGGATAAAGGACATTCGTGGGACTCAATGTCTGTATATTGTGTATTTTTAGTATATACATTTGTTGCATAATTTTTTACTTGTTTATAAACAGTACATAGAATCGTAAGTTTTATCATTTGCATAAGTAGGATGATGGGTGATGCAGGTTTACTTTAGGGCAGCGTTTTCAGCTCCATAAGAGCTTCATACGTCATGGCGGTATCTGCTCCCAAAAGTTGAGATGTTACACTATTATTAACAAATTTATAGTCAAGGGGAGATAACTCTAAATTGATTGACTTTTCAAAAATTTCAATTTTAATAATTGATGACATTTGTCTTTTCACTTATTACATAATATGCTTATTGGTTCAGATTGTAATGAAAGTATTGTATATTTAAATTCACAATTGGTACTTATAATTGTAGTGTATGCAAATTTTATACATGTATCTTTTGATATGATTGATTTTGAAACATAAACTGTCACATCTGTGGCCTGCATCATCATAACATGTGTTAGTTTTTATTTTGACTTTAGCGGACCATAAATACACTTATGTGCAGCATAAGTGACTTTATGGTACAATGAAAGATTGTAACTTTTAATTGTATTAAGTCTTTTGATATCATGTTTTGTAAATGTTAGAAATATTAGAAATATGTAGAAAATAGTTTTGTACAGTACATAGGTGTTTATCTGACTTGAAACTCTTAGGAATTTTGTAATTGATATGGGGGCGCTACTTCAAGCACATGTTTTAATATGCAGCCTCTTTTTCAAATAGCTGCTGAAGGAAGAACACGTACAGAAATTTGGTGACACTCAATTTCATAAAATATTTTAATCCCCTCCTCCTTCCCCTACTTCCACCTTGAAAAGAGTTTCTTTCATTGTTAAAAGGTGACGAAAAGAGGCGGTATCTGCTCCCAAAAGTTGAGATGTTACACTATTATTAACAAATTTATAGTCAAGGGGAGATAACTCTAAATTGATTGACTTTTCAAAAATTTCAATTTTAATAATTGATGACATTTGTCTTTTCACTTATTACATAATATGCTTATTGGTTCAGATTGTAATGAAAGTATTGTATATTTAAATTCACAATTGGTACTTATAATTGTAGTGTATGCAAATTTTATACATGTATCTTTTGATATGATTGATTTTGAAACATAAACTGTCACATCTGTGGCCTGCATCATCATAACATGTGTTAGTTTTTATTTTGACTTTAGCGGACCATAAATGAATAATTATTAAATTTTAATCATGCAAATGACATATTTCTTGGCACCATGAAGCCATTTAAGTGCCAAACCACTTTGACATTTTGTTATCATAACAATTATTTGATCATCATTGATATTTATTGAATAAATTTTAATAACAAAGTTGCTTCATATATTATAGTTCAAGAAAAAATCAAAAAATTATTTTTAAAATTAGTGTTTTCTTGTTCAGAGAAAAATAATCTCAAAACTGAATTGTGACTTTTTGTCCTGTGACTTTTAGTCCATGACATTTTGTTCGTGACTTTTTGTCCTGTGACTTTCTGTCCTACATTCTCTTGAGCTATCTCAATTATATATTGATCTTATAAAATGCCAGGCTGTTTGGTACTTTGGTTTATTGCTGTAAAATTTAAGGATTTAAGTGATAGATAATTAAATAAGCTATAATTTTCAGTTCAGACTGAATTCAGATAGTCACCTTTAAATTTGTTTATTACTTTTTCAAATTAACTTGGATTTTCATAAGACTATAAAGCTATCTCTGTTGTATATTGATCTTACTGAATCACAGGTTGTTATGTTGTTTGGCATATTGCTGTCAAATTTAAGGATTTAATTAATCAAGGTAAAAAAGCTAAAACTTTCAGTTTTCGGACTAAATTAAGATAGTCAACTTTAAATTTTTTTAACTATTTCAAAGCAACTTGGATTTTCATCAAAATCTACACCTATCTCCTTGTATATTTATCTTACAAAATACAAGGTTATTTGGTAGTTTGGTTTATTGTTGTCAAATTTAAATATTTAAATTATAGGTACAGTAAAAATTTATTTCAATCAAATTTAAATATTTTTTGTCAAAATTAATGACATGGCATACAAGAAGCACTTTAATAAGGTTTGATTACATCAGTGCATGTGTGTTTAACAGGAAAAAAGAAAGCCCTATTTTTCTTAAACTCGTGTATTACTTATCTAGTGAATTCAAAAGGCCTTGGGATTTAAGTTAATTAGGATGTTGCACTTTTGAATGACTGTATTTAAAATTTAAGGTTACAATGTACTAGATAAAGTTACATGGGCGCAGCCATTCGTGAAGGGAACATGACATAGAAATGAAAAACGCTGGCTGTCTGTGATTGGTTGTTATATCATTTATATATTTTTCTCCTGGAAAGCGTTATGAATAAAGTTTCATGCAAGCACAAATTTGTCCTCAAATTTAAATGATTATGGGCCGGAAATGCTTTTTTATTTTGATCAAAATTGCGGAAAATTTTCTGCTAAATCGTAAGGTATGATAAAAAAACCCAAAAATTCACCAAGAAAAACCATGGGACCATATATATTTAAGTGCGGTAAAATCACAAATAGATCTCGCGCTCAAATTAGACAATAGCAGTTTTTCCATAAATAGTTTATTAAAAACGCCATTTAAGGAGATAATTGCAAAAAATCTCATTGCCGGCAATGGGGCAAACATTTAGTACTTTATATTCTTAATACTCTCTGACCAGGTGTGATCTTTTTACTGAGTTTGCCACGAGCAGGAGATATTACTTTATACTTCACCACTAATCAGAAGAATAATTTTATCAATTTCTTTAATTTTTTATCCCTTTTTGATATATATATTATATATACTATATCCCAAATTATAATAATAGATATGTTCCTAATATAAGGTTAAACAATTTCAGTGATTTTGTTGGCTGTTGTTACCTCATTAAAAAGATAATTATATAACTATTGTATTTAACCATAAAACCTATGTAGTTTTTTTTTTTAGGAATTTAGGAAAATTAAGTTTAAAAAAAACACATGCCAAACAAGAAGCACCTTAATAAAGTTTAATTACCCTCAGTAAAGGTGTGGTTTTTAGGTAAAAAAAAATCTTTTTTTTCAACAAAACTCTAAAACTTTAAAAATTAATATACAGTGTAATAAAAGTATGATATAAGATCATTTGATTTAACTATCTCTATTTGATAAATCTGAAAATCATGTAAGGATGTTAAAATCTGTTTTTATATATATCTTTAATTTATTTTGACTGTAGTCATGTCAGTTAAAAAGAAATTTATTTTAACAGTTTAGATTTTTAGTTTGCACTGAATTCTGATAATCACCTTTAAATTTTTTTATAACTTTTTTAAATCAGCTTGAATTTTCATCAAACTTTTCAGCTATCTTTATTATATATTTATCTTACAAAATGCCAGGTTGTTTTGTATTTTGGTGTATTGCTGTCAAATTTATGGACTGAGTTAATAGGTATAAAAAAGCTAAAATTTTCAGTTTTGACTAAATTCAGATAGATACCTATAATTTAAATATTTTGATTCAGTAAGATCAATGTATAATTGAGATAGCTGTAGAGTTTTATGAAAATCCAAGTTCATTTGAAAAAGTTATAGAAATAATTAAAGATGACTATCTACATTTAATCAAAACATAAAATTCTTGCTTTTACCTATTAATTAAATTCTTTAATTTCATAGCAATGAACAAAACTACCAAATAACCTGGAATTTTGTAAGATCAATATTTAATTTAGTTAGATGGGGTGATTCAGATCATTCAAGACTAAATTTGAATTTCGAGACAGGTCGAGACAGATCGAGATTGGTCAAGACTGAGTCTAGACTGGTCGAGACAGGTCGAGACTGGTCAAGCCTTGGTCGAGACCATTTCAGACTACACCAAGATCATCAAGTACTGAATCAGACTTATTAAGTAAAGTCGAGACCAAAGTTGAGTACAGTTAAGTACTATCAAGATAATGTCGAGTCTAGTCGAGTAAAATATGTGCTCGACTTTACTGGTCGAGCACAAAATATGATCTTTTCAGACTCTGAGCAGTTTGTAGTGCAATTAACTGTACTTAATTGTACTCGACTTTGGTCTCGACTTTACTTAATAAGTCTGATTCAGTACGTGATGGTGTTGGTGTAGTCTGAAATGGTCTCGACCAAGGCTTGGCAAGTCTCTACCTGTCTCGACCAGTCTAGACTCAGTCTTGACCTGTCTCGAAATTCAAATTTAGTCTTGACTGGTCTGAATCAGCCCATCTAACTAAATTAAATATTGATCTTACAAAATTCCAGGTTATTTGGTACTTTGGTTCATTGCTGTGAAATTAAAGAATTTAGTTAATAGGTAAAAGCAAGAATTTTATGTTTTGATTAAATTCAGATAGTCATCTTTAATTATTTCTATAACTTTTTCAAATGAACTTTGATCTTCATAAACCTCTACAGCTATCTCAATTATACATTGATCTTACTGAATTCCAGGTTGTTATGCTGTTTGGCATATTGCTGTCAAATTTAAGGATTTAATTAATCAAGGCAAAAAAGCTAAAATTTTCAGTTCAGACTTAATTCAGATAGTCATCTTTAATTTTTTTTTAAACTATTTCAAAGCAACTTGGATTTTCATCAAAATCTACAACTATCTCCATTATATATTTATCTTACAAAATACCAGGTTATTTGGTAATTTGGTTCGATACTGGTCGAGACAGGTCGAGACTGGTCAAGCCTTGGTCGAGACCTTTTCAGACTACACCAAGATGGTCAAGTACTGAATCAGACTTATAAAATAAAGTCGAGACTAAAGTCGAGTACAGTTAAGTACTGTCGAGATAATGTCGAGTCTAGTCGAGTAAAATCTGTGCTCGACTTTACTGGTCGAGCACAAAATATGATCTTTTCAGACTCTGAGCAGTTTGTAGTGTAAACAATATATAGGTGCAATTACGACAGTGGGTTTAAATGTTAAAAAGAAATCGACTTTAATTTAATTAAAATGTATCAAACTTAGTATACACTGGACACTTAAAATTTGACTTATAGTAAATTTCAACATCAAAATGCAATTTCCTTTTATCATACATTTTGTTGCTATTTTATCAGAGGAAAAACTTAGTTGAACTGTATAGAACAATTAGTTTATGTTACGTATACAACATCTAATTAGCTATAAGGTGCAAAACATTTTTCCGCTGGATGATGAGCAAGATTTTTATTCTGACACTTGTTTTCGCTACTGGTAATAGTTTAGTAGCCGGTAAAGCCTTTACATATTCACACGACTAGCAAAATAGTGACCAAAACATTTGAATGTGAATATTAATTTATTAATATGCGTAAAAGAAGAAAGGGAGGTAATTATTCTAACTGTTAAGAAGAAGTTATTTTGAATGTTTGTCAATCGGATATTTTAAAAGTGATAACTATAAGGATCTGTAAGCAACATATTGCACGCCTACTGGTACCTCATTTTGCAATTTTTCTTTTATGGTTAACACAAATGACTAGTTATATTCAGAATTTGTAAAACATATTTAAATATGCCATGATGAATTTCAACACATTGGCAAATCAGATTAGTTGATAATTTATCGTTCTCCTCTATCCACTATAAAATTGAGAATGGAAATGGGGAATATGTCAAAGAGACAACAACCCGACCAAAGAGCAGACAACAGCCGAAGGCCACCAATGGGTCTTCAACGCAGCGAGAAAATCCCGCACCCGGAGGTGGTCCTCAGCTGGCCCCTAAATAAAATTGTGTACTAGTTCAGTGAAAATGGACGTCACACTAAATGAATACAAGAGAACGGTTTATTCATAGCAAATGATGGAATTTTTCTAGATTTCTTTCTAATTTTGAAAATAATCAAAGAATTTTTTGTTGTCTGATTAAAATATTAAGTCTTTAAGAATGAAAAATTCGGTACTTTCAATAAGGGCATACGATACAGTTTTTTGAACATTTCTATCCTTTGGATAGACATGCCTAACTTTTTTGTTTCAAAAGATAAACACAAGCGGATTTTTGTAAAAACATTTGGAAAATCTTCTTTATATAAGTATGCCCTAAATATTTATAACAATTCTTTAAAAACAACTTATTTTTATCAAAGTTTCATGATTTTAGAGAAAAGAACCGGCATTTTTTTGCTGTATAT